GTGGACATTTTCTGAAACTAAATAACGTTATGGAATTGGTGGTAAAATTGTGAAGATTAGAGCTCAAGCGAAGAAGATTATTCAAAACCTTGGCCCGTGATGAAATTGACTGTCAATACGGGGAACTACTTCTTCACCCTAAAGTCCGATGGTTAAGTAGGGGACGGGTGCTGAAACGTTTTAATGATACATTTCTGCCATAGTTCAATTTTTGAATCAACGTGATGAACCCATTCCGGATCTGGAAAATTCAATCTGGCTTAGAAATTTTGGTTTTCTTGTGGATATTACAGAAAAATTAAATGAACTTAATTTGCAGCTTCAGGGAAGAGATAGAGAACTAGTAGAAATGATTTCTGATATAAAAGCGTTTATCAAAAAACTTAATCGATAGCGATACCAGGCATTTTCCCGTTCTTTCAGAAAAGATATCTCAAAGTCCATTAGAACCATATGACAGTCAATGTGATGTAGAAATAGTCTCTAACTTGAAGGATAACTTCAAAAATCATTTCAAGGATTTCAACGAAAGTGCTATAGTGGCGCAATTTGTTGTTTCACCTTTCATGGTAGTTGATATCTCACAGTTTGCAGCTTTTTATGACAGAAATGGAAGTGATTGCGTTTCCAAATGATTCAGCTTTAAAATCATCAGTCTCAAATACAAAATGTATCTGGTCTTCAGTAAGTAAAGATAAATATTGAGTTTTATGTCGCGTTGCCTTGAAAGCGAAATCTCTATTTAGTTCAACCTACGTATATTTGTGTGAATCTGCTTTTTAAAATATGAAGTTTATTAAAAACAAATACCGTAATCGACTTACAGATGAACATTTGGATAATTTTATTCGAATGGCGGTATCAAATTATACTCCAAACATTAAAAAAAATTGATGTGAGTCTGCGTGTCAGGCTTCTCATTGAAGGCGCATTTTTTATCAAGACATGTTCTTGTTTAATATAGGGCGTTGCTTTTTTATTTTTAGTTACCTTTATTAAATCGTATGTGACATTCCATTGTAGCTGACGAAAAATTTTGTTTATTTTTCAAATATGGATGGATTTAGTTATGTAGTATGTCCTAGTTATTAATTTATTTAAGTTTATTTGGGTGTTTCAGTTTATTGGTGCATAACTTTAAGATTCGATAGAACTTTTAAAATTAATGCATAAAGTCTATATAAACATGGGTCGAAAAATGCGTGGCTTCCGAAATATACAGGGTGTTTAAATTTACTTTCTAAAATAGTTTTTTTTAAATATTTCGAACAATATTTGATGTATAAAAGTGAAAATTGGTATACAAGGGTTTTTTGGTACGACAAAACGAACCATGGGCATAGTTTTACTGTAGCCGCTAGAGGGCGCTCTCTACTGTACCTGTAGTGTATTAAAATGACCGAAAATTTTTTCTTAGTGCCATTTTTTGCTTTTTGAATAAAAAGACTGATTCATCGCACTTTTCAACATAAAAAAGCTCTCTTGTGAGTTTTCGTTATAGTTAGCCGTTTTTGAGGTATTTCGATTTTTAAGGTTTGATGCATTTTTAATTATTTATGATAAAATAACGTTAAAAAGTCAGTATCTCGATAATTTTTAGAAGTAGGCTGTGCCTGCAAATATTATTGAAATGGAAAGCAGAATAAGGTTAAACGTCAATTAGTTGACAGTTAGTTTTGTTGTCTGTTGAAACCTGAAACGTTTTTTTGCAATTGTGAATGCACGAAATTTAGTTTCTTTTACCTGTTTTTTTTTGTAAGTTTTATAAAAATGCCATTTTTATTCGCCAATCAAGAGTTAGCGGATATTCATTTTGTGTATGGCTTTGTAAATGGAAACGCAGCAGAAGCAGCTAGATAATACGCACGAAGATTTCCAAACAGACGACATCCAACTCGCTCAGTATTTGTAAGAGTGCATCGCCAAATAATTGAAAATGGTTTTGGAAATCTCCAAAGGGATCAAAACATAAATGTTCGTCAGCGCAAATTTACCCGTATGATTCTGCGTGAGTTTGATAGAGATCCGACCACAAGTGTTTCTGGTGCCTTGGGAATTTTAGCAAGCCGTTCACCGTGTTCTTAGAAATGACCATAGACGTCCTTACCATTTGCAACCTGTGCAAGGACTACAGCCAGGGGACGGAGAACGAAGAATCACATTTTGTCAGTGGATTCTTGATAGAACTGATAATAATAGGGAGTTTTTAAGTAACGTTTTATGGACCGATGAATCATGCTTCACTAGACGTGGAGTGGTAAATTTTCATAATCAACATATTTGGTCGCATGAAAATCCGCATGCAGTTCGGGAAAGAAATTTTCAGCATGAATTTAGTATGAATGTGTGGATTGGTATCTACCGTAATCGACTATTTGGGCCCTACCTTTTGCCTTCAAGGTTCAATGCTGCGACCTTCTTGGAATTTTTAAAGGCTGAACATGCAAATATGTGGGATGATGTTATGTTAGATTTAAGAAGATTGGCCTGGTTCCAGCTTGATGGTTGTCCAGCTCATTATTCGAGAATAGTTAGAAACTGGCTGGACGAAAATTATACAGAAAGATGGATCGGCCGTGGAGGACCAGTCGCCTGGCCTCCACGATCCCCTGACCTAAATCCATTAGATTTCTTTGTGTGGGGATTTCTAAAATAAAAAGTGTACCAGACTCCCGTAACCACAAGAGATATGCTAACAGACAGAATCAGGAATGCATGTGATGAAATAAGGCCTTATTTGAATAAAGCTATACTACGTTCGATCATACGTAGATGTGAATTGTGTATTGAACAATTGGGTTTACATTTCGAGCAACTACTTTAGATTTTGTTTGTTTGTCCTAACTATACAATAGCATTTTAGTTGTAAATAATTAATTTAATTTGTTAAAAATAATCTTGGAAAATTAAACAAATTAATATTCTGTTTTTTTGTGTTTATTTGGAGTTAGGAATTATTGCTGTGTTTAAAAACACAATCTAAACGATTATCTTAATTACTTGTAATGCCCAAATCGAAAATGTAAAAAAATATTATAAATAAATAATTAAAAATGCATCGAACCCTAAAAATCGAAATAATTCAAAAACGGCTAACTATAACGAAAACTCACATGAGAGATTTTTTATGCAGAAAAGTGCGAAGAATCAGTTTTTATTCAAAAAGCAAAAAATTGCACCAAGAGAAATTTTTCGGTCATTTTAATACACTACAGGTACAGTAGAGAGCGCCCTCTAGCGGCTACAGTAAAAATATGCCCATGGTTCGTTTTTTCGTACCAAAAAACCCTTGTACACCAATTTTCACTGTTATACATCAAATATTGCTCGAAATATTTAAAAAAACTATTTTAAAAAGTAAATTTAAACACCCTGTATTTCGGAAGACCCGCATTTTTCGACCCATGTTTATATAGACTTTATGCATTAATTTTAAAATTTCCATCGAATCTTAAAGTTATGCAACAATAAACTGTAACACCCTATATATTAGTATTAGTAAAATAAACACATGTATGTCGCAAACAACTGTGTATCATTTCATTTAAGTTGGCTTACACTGCTTACGACTAGGTAGTTCACTGTTTGTTCCGAAATTATCAGAGTAGCTCAACACACTGAAAAGGTTGGAGACCCCTGCTCTATAGTCAAATTTCATGCTTTCATATTTTATTGTATAATAGCTGCAGTGTTTGAAGCAGAAAGCAACCAAATGTATTTCCACATTCACACAATTTATGAATGTTTTATTTCTTTCACGCCTCTGTAAATAAAACATTTCCTCGTCCATTTCTGTCTAAATCGTCGTTTCGAGGCTTTTTTATACGTACATCATCTGCAAATCTTTAAAACCCTTTTCACGCCAAAAGGGAAAAGCCTGGCTTCCTCAGGCGCATCATTTATATCGGGCGGTACACGGAAATTGCTTTTCTGCATCCGCCTTTAGGGTTGGAATTTTTATTTTAATGGGTGCATCTAGTCGCTCAATCATGGTTCATTGTTACAGGGTGTGTTTCAGAAGTCACGAAGGACTCTAAATGCCTATTCATACTCAGCGTGACGTGACAGTGCTGTGACCGGCACGTGATTCCCCCGGAAAAACTAATAAGATTCTCCCTGAAATTTGGATTTACTGATTCACACTAGTCAGGCACGTGGAAGTGACCGTGTTCTCAGTGCGCTCGACGACGCGGTACCGTGATCATCGCATTGTTTTGCAACGATATTTTTCGATTTTCACGGCCGTGTTTTTATGTATAAATATATATATAAAATATATAGTTTCGTGAATATTTTGATATAATTGGTCAAAAACATGAATGATGAAAAACTTGAATTTGTGCGCGCACATCCCATGTTGTAGAACCAGTCAAATGCAAAATACATGACTTCCGTTTTCTTCTCGTTTCTTCTTTTTTTTTCATCCAGAATTAATATAATAATTACAAGTTCATCCTCTGAAAATTTTGCCATTTCGACCTCACGTGAACACAACTACACTGTCAGAGCACGGAGAAAAATACTGACCGGTGTGAACTGAAAACACTGCGAGCTCACGTCAGCGAAAATCACTGGCACGTCACGACACTGTCACGTCACAGCTGAGTGTGAATAGACCTTTAGCCGGCCACGGGCAGTCACGTTTGCTGCCACGATTAGCTTAGGCCGAGAGAAAAATGCCTTCATCAACACTATCTCGATAGTGCTTAGAAAGTAATAGTTTTTTGGTTCAAGACAATATACGGAAGAGATTGTGGAGGAAGTGAGTTAAATAGGAATCGGGGTAGAGGTGGAAAATTCCACAAGAAGTACGACAAATAGCGAATGTATCCAGAACTTTTTTTGAGCATACCAGAATGAGTGTCGAAGCCAGAATTGGAAAAAAGTCAATGCATAGAATTTTAAGTGTCGCTGAAAAATTGTTTTTGACATTAAGGTATGGACCTATCTATATACGAGGGATGTATTTAAGTTTTGCATATGGAAATAAAACAACACGGTATGTAGTTTTAAATGACTTTACCGTTTTTTGAAGTATGCTCCATGAAGATTAATAAATATCTGCATGCGCTCGAACCAATTTTCGAAGCACTTATTCCACTGGTTTGCCGGCAGATCCAAAACGGCATTTTTGAATGCATCAACTGCTTCTTCTGGTGACTGAAACCTTTGACCACGCAGTCTGTTTTTAATTTTCGGGAAAGTAAAGAAATCGTTAGGACTTAGATCGGGACTATATGGAGGATGGTCCAATAATTTCACGTTTTCTTCCGATAAATACTGCCTTGTTTTTGGGCTGTGTGCGAGCTTGCATTGTCTTGGTGGAGGATGATTATTCTTTCGGGGTTGATTTTTCGAAGCCCGGTGATGACTTTTGGCAAACAAATGGTGCTATACCAATCCGCAGAAACAATTCTTTACTCATTAAGAGGAACTGTTGCAATACGGCTTTTGACACAAATGTCGCGACCATCTTTTTCGAAGCACTACGAGAACGGATGACATTTGTTGGCCTTTCTTCACCTTGGAACACCCAAACAGCCGACAGTCGTTTATTTTCTGGTTCATAACAGTAAATCCACTATTCATCACCACTAACAATGCTGTACACACTTTTTGAGTTTCCGGAATTGAAACGGTCAAGCGTTCTTTGACACCAATTAACCCTGGCTGCTTTCTGCTCTTCCATCGACAATTTTCTTACCCCTAAGTCTTCATGTAAAATTTTTTGAATTGAGGTCTTTGAGATCTTCAAAGATGCCTCAATCTCGCGATATTTCACATGTCTACGTATCTTCAATGATGAGTTTGCGCACAGCATCGACGTTTTCCTGGGTGACTGCCGTTTATGGTACATCCACCCTGGGATCGTCGCTAAGACTCACCGGTCCACGTTTGAATTCTCCATACCAACGGGAAATTGTCGACTGATGTGGCGCTTCGTCGCCGAAAATAGACAGTAACTTAGCAAGGCATTCTTGTTGCGATAATTGTCTCTGAAAGTTGTAATAAATTATGGCACTCGGTTGAGTCCCACTTTTCTAATGACTTGGTGACACGTAAAAATTCACTGTAGTGAGAACACTGCACGTATTGTTGTAAAACTTTGAATTTAAGTTTACTAAAGAGTGAGGCTAAGATTCAGTACTGACGTTTTGGGGAACGGTAATTCTCTAGCTTAGTTACAAAAGCCGTTTTTGATGAAAACATCATTTCAGACCCTAGTTTTTGGATGTAGATGAACGAAATGGGACTGAAAATGATCATGAATATGAACGTTCTGAAAGATTTTACTGTATAATAGGTTTTCCTTGAATGTTTGTTTTCAAAGACTGTGCGTATTTTCGTTAATTTTTTTATGTTTCTTGCATATGGCAACGTCCCGATATGTATAGGAATATGTGTATATGATTGAAATGAAACGTTGAATAAAGAATATCTATTACAAAGCAAATACTTAATTACTTTTGATATCGCATTTCTTTCTCCAAAAATAATCTCTTTCAAAACAATAAAGTTGTATGACCTATACTTCACAACTTCCGCGCGAGCGGAATCGCCTGTTTTGGCGTATAAATATACTGAAGAAATTCTATATCTCGCAAATACTACTCCTATAAATGAAACTTTTTCGAGTTTAAAATATGTTTTTTATTTGATATTTTGACATACACATCTGCATTCAGTTGTCTGTCCTTTAAAATGATAGAAAGCAGGTTGACTCGTGGAATTCGTAAGCTTAAAAATAATGTGCCTAAATAAATTCCTACATTAGTTAAGTTTCGATAATAATTGCGATGAGGACATTTTTGGAATATCTTCCACCAGCTGCTTTTTTAGCAGTTGTTTATAGAATTATCAGATGGTCGGGATTCGTCGAGATTGTCCCGACATTTCATATGATGTAAAGAGTACCAGCTCAATAAAAATTGTCCCGACAAATTTAGAATTACGATCCAAACAAGCAATGCTTATTATGAAATGGTGTTCAGTTTATTAAATAACTTGTATACCAAAGATAGAAATAGAATGACAATAGATTCAATCAAGGCCGAACTACTATTAGGATTAAACTGATGAAAATTGTTTAAATTTTAAAACATTTGTTAATACGGCAAAGAGCACCAAACTGGTGCCAAAAACTTGTGTAAAAGTAAAAAATAAGTATATTTTAGTTGTCATATTTTTATTTCATATGTTCCATCTGTAATCTCATAACTTGTCCAAAAAAGTATTTCGTTGTAATAACCTCAATTTTAATAGCAGAAAATAACTTCTTGATTTGGAATATTCATTTGTATCCATCATAATATCAAAATCCCGACTTTTTGAAATTTTGCTCAGATATTTTGGTCATCTCATCTAGTAACGCTAATTATATACAACTTTAGGAATTATAGATATACTTTGAGACATTTTTGAATAGACGCGTTGTCATTGTTATAATTTTTCCAATCAAAATCGCAAAAAGAGTAAATGACAAAATATTTTCGAGGAACATATGACGAGGAGAACCCCATTCTCAAATAACCAAGAAACGTAATCTCACAAAATTGCCAAATTTGATTTCTTCTCACACTGGCAACGTTGCACTAAATAACTCAGATTTAGAGGTACAGGAGGGAGTTCAGATGAGCATTTATTGGAAACGTGTGAGACTTTTTTTTATAAATTATGGTATTCGCCGATTATTGATGGTATCTAAACCATATCCTCAAGCATTAAGTCTCTCAATCTCAGCATGTTACAGGACCGTTCAGTATAGTAATTCACTGTATGGGAATGTGAAAAAGAAACGAAATGTCACCTGGAAGACAGATAAACAAAATACATTGTCACAGAATTATCAATTGTACTTGAAAAGACCACAATAGTGGCAGGAACGTCGCACAATAAACAAAAATTTAAACATATAACGGGTGCGCCATCTTTTATGTCGGTATGTAAACATGAAATAACTTTGAAAACGAAAAAGTGATTTCTATATATCGGGTATTTTTATTAAATATGGTCCTTTAAAATTTATTGGGACTAGTTTTTGAACACAACATCTATCAAGCGGCCACGTTTATTGGCCAAAACAAAAAAGGGGCCCGTTTTGCTGCGTTTTCCGTTACTTTTTCGAGCATCTCTGGTGGTATAGCGGCGATTGCGGTACGAATGTTTGCCTTGAGTTCTTTAGTGGTCTGGGGCTTGCTGCCGTACACTTGACGTTCCAAATAACCCCACAAGAAGAAGTCCGGTGGGGTCAAATCTGGAGACCTGGGTGGCCAGTCAATATCACCTCCTTTTGACATTAGACGTCCAGCGAATTTTTGTTGCAGAAACTGGATTGTTTCATTTGCAGTGTGGTATGGCGCACCGTCTTGTTGAAACCAGTAACCAGACCTTTTTCACGCATTCGTTTTCGTTGAAGAAAAGTCGCCCAATGACGGTTTTGGCGCAAACGACGGCCTAAGCAGTCATTTTCTGGTCATGCAACGGCATTTCGTGGATCTCATATGGATTTTTCGTCCCCCAAATACGGTAGTTTTGCTTATTAACGTCGTCAGAGAGCGTGAAATGGGCCTCGTCGGTCAGTTGACAATATTTTTTGTGTTAGCTGCACCTTATAAGGAAACAAATGCAAATCATCCTTCAAAATTCGCCGCAACGTGGCTCCACTGATGCCAAAATGCTGAGCGCGGTGACGATACGACACTTTTGGGTTCTGGGCAACGCTGTCTCTGACCGCTTCAACCAATTCATTGGAACGCCTTGGTCGTTTATGACCGGTATGTTGACGATCTCCCACTTTTCTGTACTCAAAAAAATTTGAAAACAAACGACGGATAATGTTGTCAGACTGTTTGCCACGATATTTTCGACGATATGCGTTAACACAACTGAACTACGATTCACAATGTACATTGTGACTATTTGGGCGCGTTGTTTCGGTGTAATGCGATTCATAACTAAAATTGTAGTAAATTAACGTTTCAGAAAAACGTATAGCCAAATCACTCGGTTGGTAAATATAAAAGTCATTCGATGTTTCGATACCGACATAAAAGATGGCGCACCCGGTACATATGTGGTTCAGTTCGGGTAGGAAACGGAGTCCTAAGTATCTATGTTTATGGACAATATGTGATACAATCATTATAACACAATTGATACAGAATTGCGTGGAATCAATCTACTTGACGCCAATTTTCTCCCGTCGATGAACTGTGGTACTACACTAACATAGTGTCTAATGCTTCACATAGCCAGTAGTTAGGTACGAATATATTGTCGGCAGTAGAGCCGTACCTTAAGAGAGCTCTCACATCGTTGACCTTCATCCATAAAAAGCTATATTTGCGCGTGTATGAAGCAGCTAATTTGAAATCAGCTTTGGATAAACTCGATGAATAGGGTAATCTGTAGGCTTATGAAGGCGCTCCACAATAATCTTGTTTTCGCCATACTTTCTATTAACCTCCACGTTCTATTTACGTAGCTAAGAAGTGGGTCAAATCGTTGCATAATTTACTAAAAATCGCTTCTTCTATGTAATTAATAGAGTCTGGTATTTATACTGCATACTAGAGATTATTTTCAGCGACATCATTTACGTGCCAAAGCTATAATTTTGCGTTATTTGTTTATAGGTAATTTGGAGGTATCAAAACTATCCGAAACTACTTACTAATAAAAGTTTATCAATACTTCACCAAAATTTTCAAAATGAGATATTATATTTTTTGTATATTACATGACATGTACATCATGAAAAACTTTTCTAGATTTGTCTTGACAGCGGGAGTGACACTGGTTATATGTATTAATTATTATTGGATTTTTCAAAAGCCTTTGACACCATTGACCATTCACTTATGTGCGCAAAACTGTATCATTATGGCCTTGACCATACAGCGTTGAGCTTATTTTGCAATTACTTAGGTCTTCGTAAGCAAAGCGTTGTTCTACATAACAAAAGATCTGAGATAACAACAATAATATCAGGAGTTTCTCAAGGTTCTGTTTTAGGACCGTTGTTATTTATTATATACACAGCTGATATCTTGAAATCCGTACAGTACTCACACATTCAATCTTATGCTGATGACACGCAGCTTCTGTTTCATTTTGAACAGGCAAATGATTTAATCAACACTGACTTACGAACAGTATCTGACAATTGTAAAGAACACAATTTGAAACTAAATCCTGATAAAACGAAACTTTTGCTTTTCTGTTCTAATCACAAGCGAGAAAACTTGAGCAACAGTCTGACCCTCTTCTTGAATGAATAACAACTTTATTTTTCAACTAGCTGTAAGATACTTGGTTTGATCATACGAGCCCCTTTCCTCTTCAGTTGGCCCAACTATTGAAATCTTAATTTTTTCTTATCAAACACAAATAATAAAAATGTAATAGGTTTAAAATATTAACAATGAATATTTTGATAATATGTATAGTAGAAAACACCAACTTTATCACTCCCTAATCAAATTTACAGCATAAAAATAGCACAT